ATCCCAGACACAGGAAAGAATAAACACCATTTGGATTATTGAGGACATCTCCATGCAGTGATGCACTGTACAGTCCAGTCAGGCCCTGGAAGAGTCAGGAGCGTATGTAACGCTTTGCATTCTGGACTTTTGAACAGTTTAAAGCATATCAAGAATGTTACTTCTTATTGAACAAGGATTTATTCTAATTCTATCCTGTTATTCAATAAAATCTTTTAGTTACAGAACTGGTACGAGTGAGACACATTTGTATATAGGTCTACGCACTCAAAATAATCTATTGTTCTCAAAGACATAAGATGTGACCTACTGATTTTCATCCGTAACCTTTGTTTTTTCTTGTTTTGTCCAGCTGCTTGTATTTAGAAGTTTAGTCTGTACGAATATAGATGTTTAGCTTACCATAGTGATATTTGTTTAAGTGTATCACACTGAAAGACAGGAGCATAATCTTTAATTAATTAATTACTTAATTATTAAATAAGGATTGATTACACTGTCAATGTAATAAAATAAAATCTCTAGCAAAAGACTGGTAGATCCCATTTCACAACCATAAACTAAATTGGGAAGCCTGAAGCTAATAAATACAAATCATGAAACGCGTTGGACAAAGGCCATGAAAATCATTCAAGAAATTCCATTTAATTGGCAGGATATTGATTTCTGCTGGATTTAAGATGCAGATCCATACATGTAAAGGGTGCAACTCAAGTCCAATAAGAAGCAATGAAAGCATGGAGTAGCAAATTAATTTAGTTAGATTTATAACCTCATAATCTTTTTTGTATACATGACAAAATCTGAAGGGGTTTTCGTGACACTAAAACACATGCTTCCTATGTTTTAATAAGTGAAATATAGAGGTATTTGATAGCTTGTTGTTGAATAATTCCATGTATTTCCTCTATCTGATGAAACAGGTTTGGGTTAGTTTTTGATGTAAAATTATAAAGTGTGAATAACTTCTAAAAAGCGCAATTTTGCAATTATGATTTACATGACTTTTTTGTCACATATACAAGTCTTCACTTAAAGGTCTTTTAGCACTGCATTTGTAATATAAAGGGCCAAGTTATGTAACCCACAGTTAAGTCCATTTCAAAGCTATTAGTATGAATTAGGTATTATGTCTATCTAATGTATGTGTATATATGAATCAGAACCTCTGTCTGTGATTTCAGCTTGACTAAGACCAGTTAATCAGTAGTTGTAATAAAATTTGTAGGCCTCAGAAACTCATTCTTTTGGGCAGACTCACCTCCTTCTGCATGCAGAATCTTTGCACATAAAAGGAGCTGCCAGACTGAGTTTGCAAATTGTCATTATTGGACAGAGAAACTGTGGGATCTCCTATCTATTTAAATTTGACACACATCAAGACAGACCTTAGATGGTTCCTTCCTAATTCAAATTACTTGATTTAGAAATGCAAATTTTAGAACTGTATTAACCAAAAGCTATCTAATGCCTGCTCACTTTTTCATCAGCTAAAAATTAAAACATGCAAGCTCAATCCTTGAGTCACAGCTAGTTTCATTTATTTTTTTTTAAATGAAACATTATTTATAATTCACTGGTTGTGTTAGGAGAATTAATATCCTTGAAATGAATACTTGACATAAAACACCATTCATATCACTGCCTGGAAAATGTGACTCACAGTGAGAGGAACCCCTCTTCTGGTTGAAGCACGGAACACCGCACATGGAAATGCTACAGCAAATAGGGGGTTATCCCAGGCTGGTCTCTGTTGCCGGAGAGAGATGTCACTTTCAGGGAGCAATTAGTCTCCCCTTAAAGAAGACCTCTAACATAAGTCAGTTTGCATGCCTGCTTAGTCACACTGACTATAGAGGGACTCGGAAGTGCCTCGACAAAATAGATATCTACATCCTAGGTGCCTAAAGCAGGTAAGAAAAGTGCCATCTAAGAAGTCTGTTGTGACATGAAGAGCTCCCACCTCCTACCCCCTAATTTGTCTGCAAAAGGCACACTCAGCATGCTATAGCATTCTTGGCTGACATTGAGGATCAGGTATGCCATTCGTGCTTATTAGCTTCTTTTGACACAGTTTCCAAAAGGAATTCATGTGGATATATTGAATAGAAGAGACCATATTTTGATCATCAACTTCTACATATTTACACTGAAAAATCACTGCAAATTTTAAGGTCACCATGGTTGATATTGCCTCTAAAAATCTGAACATTTGATTCCTGTGCTGCTTCACTTTTCAATTCCAGTTTCTTACTTTTTGCTAATGCATTTTCTCCTACATTTATGCCTCAGGGCGAATTCTTAAAATAGTAAATGGGAGAATATTGCTTTTGCTATTTTAGTCACTTTGCTCTACCAAATCCCTTTTCATCTTTCTCTTATCATTTTCCCTGTATCTTTTGCAGTAGTCCCCTTTCACTACCCTTTTGCTTTCTGTGACCTTTCCTCTCCTCAGATAGAGTCTTGTCAAAGACTCTCTTCCAGGAAGCTTAGCAACATAAACCCTCCATCTTAAGTGTCTGTTCCTGGTTTAGCATTGACATAGTTCAGTGACACTGCCTTCCAGGCAACTAGTTTGTTACACCGGTGATCAGTTCTTGCTGAGTTTGCGAGCTGAGCCATGTGTATGATGTGATGGGGCCCTACCTGTCTGGTGTATTCCTCTGGATACTCCATGACATGAACTCTGAGAACAGCAGGACTAAATAGCGTTTGAAAGGGTTTTCAATTATTCTGTGAAGAGCAGGAAAAGTGTTTGTAATATATCTTCCTTCTTGGCATAGTGCTGTAGTGCAACATGTTTTACTAGGATTTTACATGTTGCAAGAAAGCACCTACGCATACTTCTGCAATTATGCCATGACATTTGTTGCTATGGCAATATCAAAAACAGTGTATGACTAAGAACGAGCAAACCCATTCAGGCAAAATAGTATCCATCCTCAATCCCATTCAACAGTCCAAATGAATTGTAGCCATTTTCATGCTTTATAGTGGCTTAATATCTTTCCTGCATCATTAAAGTCTTTTAGCCTCTTATATCCACTGCATACAGGCCCCAGTTCAATGCATAATTTGGGCACAGCAATTCCATCAGCAACTCTGAGAAATCAGATTAAACCAAATTAGATTAAATTATCCTTACTATTCTTTGCCTTCTTTTGTTCCTTTAAATTTCTTGGCACAGAAGCATTTTCTAGATTAGCTGCAGCACTGAGTACACCACCTTCCTTCTAATCATTAAAACTTCAGATGATTTATTGCCTCTGACATGCAGAGTTCACTCTGGGGATTAACTGAATGGAAACCTTCAGGTCAGGGGGTATTTAAGAAGAGCAACAGTAACTTCCAGCAAAGTATGTCTTAGGTCCTGCTGTCTGAGCATCTTCTCCTGCGGGAGAAAAGAAGCTGACCTCAGGCAAAAAACTGTGGGAGAGCACATAAGGTAGGCTCGCTGTGTGTTCACATGCATGGATATCTTCTCTTCTGGATATCACATTTTGTTTTACTGTCAAGGATTTTACTGTGTTAAAGGCTTTCTAAAGTTAGTCCCCTGGAATCAAAGAAGCAGCCCTATTTTCCAGTATCTCTCTTCCAGTTAAGATAAGAGACTTCTGGATGACTGCATTGTATGAGACAAATCCCACAATAAAAATAGGTGTAATATCTATCAATAACTGAAATGTCTCATGGAGAGTAATTTAAAACCAACCTTCAAAATTACCTCTTAAAGGAATACATTAACAAAGGGTTATGATTATAATTGCATTATATCATAAATAAGCACTTACCTGTCTCCCCTCCCTATTTATTTAATTACCATGAATTTAAGTCAGATTGCAGAACATTCTTAACTAGGGGTGCTTTTCTGTTTATAGAATGAAGATTTAACACTTTGTTCCCTCAAGAGCCCTACACACAAATGCTCAGAATACTTGATGAGTTCCTAGAACAATAAAATTATACAGAACTGACAAGACTGGGTCTTTTAGAGGTAAATATGGATGAAAAAAAACTAACAATGTTAATACATTCCAGAAACTATTGAACACGACCAAGCCGCACTTCTCCTCAAAATAGCTGAAGTACTGTTTCTTTCTTGAGTTACAAGCCTATTATACACTTAAAAAGACAAGAGCTATTCTGAAAATGCTGGAAATGTTAAGTTTTCAGTTTAAATGCTAAATTGCCTGTTTAGTAAATGTCTGTATACTTTGATCAAGAGGCAAAGCAAATGCTCTTTCATTCTGCCAACACGCTATAGAGAATGTAACTACCTGGAAAATTACACAATGAAAGAACACATGGATTAACATGATGTAAACAACATGAGGTCAGATAAGGTATGTTCCCATAAAGATGTCCAAGACCAAGTTGCCACAATAATAATACCCAAAAGTGTCACAGCATATAACTTTCAAAAGTGTTCACATAATTGGTAACGCCAGTCATTTTTCAAGTTAATGTTTTTTTAGAAATAATAGTGTCGTTTACAAAGGAATTATTTTTCTCTTACACACCTTCAAATGTTCTAGAAATAGAATTTATCATTGTAAATCAGAAAAGTCAGTTTTGCAAATTTCTCCTTATTGTCTAAGGGCTTGTAATGGGGTGGCTTTGTCTCAGTGCAACTACAGAACTCCATGTCACAAAAAGATAGATGCATTCCTCATACCAGCTCTTTCTAAAGCACTTTATTGCAAGAAGTTGCTAATGAGGGTAATCATGACATGGGCGCACACGGCTATATAAGAAAAAGCCATAATTTGGCAAAGAACTTAAATTAAAATACAAAAGCTAACATGATACAACACTAGAAGTCATCAATTTGAGTCATCACATGACTCAAATCCTCTTTAATAAAACAGATATAAGGATATGAAACAATATAAGGTTATTATAAAATGCATTTTTCAGTGAGACTTTTTATAAATAAATAGTAAATTTAGAAACCCCTGATGTTTTCACAGAGAATTTTTAGTCATATTAATTACTCTTACCTGTTATAGTTGCTTTGTTAATAGATGGTTGGTTACACATTGGTGATCGTCTGTTTAAAAGAAAAGAAAAAAAAGGTATGAGCCTGATAAACTCACAGATGACTGAATCCTTGAATAATATAATAGAAAATACATTTCTTTGGGAAGTTATCTGGGGCTGGAATACTCTGGCATTGCCAAAGAAAAAGTTCATTTAGAACAGGTATTTCTTTCTATTGTAGAGGGGAATTCACAACTGACCCTGAAACCTCTCTACAGACTAGGAACTCCAAGAGAGGAATATTTTAGGAATTTACAAGTTCATTAAAAACCCACCTAATCATACCTAGAGGTTACACCTAGCTTGAAGTTTGGTTTATATACATAATTATTATTCTTTGAACATGGCTTGCACTGGCCCTGTTCTCTGACCTGAAATACTTTTTTTTTTTTTTAATGATTTTTCAGTCTATTATTTTGCATGTACATTTCACACATTACATTCTGTATGCCTTTCACAATAATCTTTAGAGCAAACAGCTCAGTGGATTGCTTTTCCTTTTGAAGAAAACTAGAAGTTGCTGGTCTGACACAGCAGCACAGGGATGCGTGAACGTTGGCAAGCAGGGGCCACATAGGGTCCACATATTCCAACCAAGGGGGCTGGAAATATCTTTTTGTGGCACTGCATAAGCAGTGGTAGGCAGCTGCCTTTGGAATGCTAATTACTTCTAAGTTCTAGAGACGCATACTTTGGGTGAGGGAAATGACTCCACTACAAAATTGGCCAGTGTAGCTAACGTTAATGTTAACTGTGACGCTGTAACACGATGGGAGAAAGATCATATTTATAATATCTCTTTTATAACCATGAACTCATGTGGATAAGTGGGATATCGTTATCTTGGATGAGTTAGGCAGAGTTCTAGGTTCAGATCACGCAAGTAGCTCACAATGAGTGTAGCTGTCTGCTCACTTTGGTTCATGTGCAAGACTCAGACTCTGCCTGAATGATCATCTTTGAATGATCTTTGACATATGACTAATTTATTGAAAATCATATAAATTGCACAAAACCACTCCAAGTTTATGCAAGGACAGCAATGCAACAGCAATTAGTAGGCAAGGGGATTGTTGTCTCAGCTATTAAGTATAGCAACTTCAAGGGATTAATAAACTCATTACTCATCACGTTTCATGCAGGTTTGGTGACACAGACTGAAATTGGTAACATCTGATTGTTATTCTTAGTTTACATTTTTTAACTATCACTGAAAAAAGTTCAGCAGCCAAAAATTGACACTCACTTGCTGGGTGCCCGATCTTGTAAATTGGTTAATGCAGCAAAGTTATTCCGTACAGTACGCAGGCTGGCCAGCACCTGGAACAGAAAAAATGGTTTTAGTCTAAATTTCTGCACAGGTGAGACTGATTTATCTCCGCTCCACTATGCTGAAACAAAAAGGAAAGGACATTGCAAATAAACTGTAAAAGGTTTCCTGGGTTGGTTTGTCTGAAGTCTTTGACCATTATTTAACAACAACATGTCTGTATTACAAGGGCAATAGTTTATTTCTTTTTTTTTTTTTTCCTCATAAACAACTCATTATTTGTTTAAAGACAGACTTACTTGAAGAGGAGGAAAGTTTTTCACAGAATACTACTTAGTTCTCTAAAATGACCATAAAAGCATTCGTGTTTGAAAGATAATAGCCCATTCAGGCCTAATACTTCATGCATAAGAAATGATTACAGAATTTTCCATTTTCAGTTCAGCCCCCACAAACCTCAAATGACAAAGGGAATGAGATTGTCTAGACTGCCAGCAAAAATAAAAGTGGCTCCTTTAAGGGCTGCAGTTGGTTTGGGGACAGCGCAGAAGGCTCGAGTAAGAGCAAGGTATAACCTGAGCAGGTGGGAAATGTCTGCAGGCTCTTACGAGGTTTGCACATTGTGAAAGACGACAGAAATGAAGTACTTCCTTTCGGGACTGAATTTCATGCAAGACAGCAGCTAGCAGAGGCAGTAGAGGAGTGTTTTCTTGTTGTAAGTGACATGGGCACTCTTTTCTGAAGGCAGCTAGGTAAATGCAACAAATTTTGCACCATGTAGGGATAATAAGATGCACCTCTCTGACTAGGGAGAGGCAGTTCAGCTGATGTCAGAGAGGAACCATGAGTTGTTTGGAACCAGACTGGGAATGGGAGGGGGCAACAGCACTAATCACTGGTGTGTCTTTGCAGGAGTTGCCCGTTGTTGTTTCTCAGCCCAGACTGGGTTGGTTCCCTGGTGAACCCGTTCTAGGAATAACAAAGGCGGGAATGGGAATTTGGGTTCCAGAGGTCTGAGTTGAGGAAGATACAACCCTCTTCTCATGGCCCCTTAAGTTTACACATGAGGTGGGAAGGGGATAGGAGGCTGAAGATAAAAGAAGGATTTAGTGAAAGCTTGTAACAGACAGAAAATATTCAGGAGAGAATAATGACTGGCAGAGTTCAAGCTATTGTAGGTAATTCCCAAATGAGTTAAGATAATAAAAGTACATTTGTTGCCTAATTAGACAGTGTTATTTCATTATGTTTTCCTTTCCAAAGATCAGGAGGCAAACTCACATATTTTATATTCAGCACCAAATAAAAATAATTATATATGCCATAAAATTTGCATGATCAGGGTACAGTAACACTAACAAATATTGTGTATAGATGTTAGATATGCACAGATGGAAGTCAGGCATGAACTAAGCAGAAGGGGAAAGAAGATCTTGGAGCTCACAAATTCAAAAATGAATACACGAAACACAAATAAAAACTGCTGAAGTATGAAAATATTGTAAAAGGAAAGGACAAGTTGAAGGTAGAAGAAGAAGGAAAACATAAATGGCAAAAAATGGGCCTACTAAGGTAAGACACATTTTAGTGACTGCTGTCCATTTTCAGTTCTCTTCGTTCAATCTGCCTGGGTTCAGTTTATGTGTGCCAGTACGCTGAGGCAGCTTGTACGTCTTCTATTATCAGAGAAACCTATCTACGTGGCTACCAGCGTTGTCTGAAGCCATGAAAAAATGCAGTTGGTTTTCCTGTCTGCAAGTTCCTACTCAATAAACCCTGCTGGACTCAAATTGGCTGCATATTCAGGTGCACTGAGATTTGGGAGCATGTGCAAGGGTAGCTAAGTGACTCCTTACTGGATGATCTCAGGTACAGCCGTGCTTATTAGGTCTGCCTCTACGGGACTGCAATGAATGACTGTGTACCTGCTGTACGGGGCTGAGTTTCAGAAAGGTTAGTAGGCTGGGCATGCTGCCACGTGAAAACATGAACCTACATGGATCTGAAAATACATCATGAAAACATGGATCTGAAATAACAGGACATTTAGCACCTGGGGTGCTGGAGAAAGAAGCGTGCAGCGCTGCAAGGTTGCTTGGGGCCAGTTACAAGTGGAGGCTAATGAGCTTTGCTGGAGCCATGCTCGGGTCTCTCAAGAGCTGTGAGGGAGTCTTTCTACCGTGTCTACCACTATGCACATTGATGAAATTTTTCCACTGTCTGAGATATTACGAATCTCTCCTTTTTCAGAAAGCAGAGACTTGACCGTTTGGTTTGTACGTCCTTCTGTTTGGTCTTCTGGCAGGTAAGATAACTGTTTCGTAGGTCCGGGAATGAAGCGTCCAGCATCTGCCCAGCATCCCAGCTGCTTTAGCACACATGCACATATTTTGACAGTTTCTGCAAGTGCAAGGTGTCCCCACATACATAGCAATGAATGTAAAAGTGACAGCAAAAACTTTGGCCATTGGCTACCGTGGAGCTAAACAACTTGATTTAGTGGATAAAGGCATTAATATTTTTAAGTCTATTACAAGTACATAAAATAATGTTTCAATTTTTCATTATAATCTGCTTTAAGTGACAGTTTCTCTGTCCACAAAGGTTCCACTTGTGCTTAATGTTTCTAGTGTTAGATTTGCGAGCAAAAAGCAACCAGTCACCTGCAAACCTCTTTACATTTAATCTTTAAGTAAATAATACTATTTTCAACATTGCTATATACAAACAGTTGCAAGTGAATTAAAAAGATCAAACTTTTTTTTTTATCACAAAAAAACTACAGAATTGGTACTCAAATTTCAAATCACTCTAATGATTTTATTTTGAAAAGCAAAACTCTACAAATAATTAAATTACAGCAGTTGCTGTATATTACAATAAAGGGAAATGCAACTAATAATATCCTTGTGATAGATTTTGTAATTTTAGCTTAAAAATTCCACTCTGGTAAAAATAGTAAATTATCTTGTCCTGGGGCTGGATTCTATGTGGGGGACACAGCATGTCACCCTGCCTCCAGTTAACAAATGCAGCTGCACTGCCATGGTGATGTGTTGAGTAGAAACTGAAATGCTAAAATTGGAACTATTACCACCAGGTGGCTCATGATCAGATGAAACAAGCCTTCTGATCAACTGAAGAAAATACGGATGGTTTGAAATAACTGGAACACGTGTTCCACGTGCCATGATCTACCACCACCAGGAAGCCCCGAATGGATTAATTTGCTGCTTTGGCTGTTTGCAACACAAAAAAAGCACATATATGATGAAATACTGCTCTAGGAAGATGTTAAAAGGGTGGTTTGTATGATGTATAGACATTGTACTGGCACATGTGATCCAATTTCTGAAATCCTGAGTGAGGTCCTAATACTGCTAACACAACTCAGAGGGGCAGGCTCTGTGCTTCGCTGCCGATGCAGTCTGTGAGCATGGGATTTGCATATTCAAATCACTTTTAGATAAGGGCTACGTTCTTCCTAAGGGTCTAATCAGATGTCACTTCCCCTCTATTAGACACGCTCTCTCAACTGCATCTCAATTCCCCCTGTGTCAGGGAATGCGATAGGTGGTAACTCACTCTGTGACGGCTCTTTCTCCTGTTCAATGCAAAGGAAAACAGGTTGATTTAAACCCCTGCTAACAGAGTTTTACACTGAAATACTAAAAGCTCTCAAATAATCAATTATGGCACCTTGGTGCAAGTAGCAATAACATTCAACTGCTCCTGCTCTAATTGGTGAAGCATGTCCATCAATGCCAACAAGAATACAAAACTGCCCTTAAAAGCAGTAAGGTGTTTTGTCCCAGGAAAAAAAATATGCACGATCGGGGTGTAATGTTTGCTGGTTTTCTAAGCATATTATAACCTGTCTTATCTATGTGGCATAATTTGTAATAAAAATTCAGATGACAATGAACATGGACTCATCTATAGTAAATATTATTGGATTGCTTGACCACCATAGAATTTGTTATTTTTCTGTTTTCTGTTTCTGGGTTTTTATGTTTCCTGGGGAACTAAAACCATAAGTGGTTTTACTTTTTTTTTCCTCTCATTTTTCCTGTAATTTTTTCTCTTCCATTATTGCTGAAGTAAATTTACCATTTAGGACATCTTAAAGTATTCTTAGAAAAGGCCCTGGCTTAATCTTTTCTCTGCTAATAAAAGATGAAGCTATTCTTCCTATTAAGGATTTGATCAGCCAGTGTTTTATAAACACTGTATCTGTTTACATTATAATTAAATATATAATAACCTATTAAATTAATATTAATTGTTTCAGCAGCTGATCATTAGACCAAAGCAACTGGCATATTCAGACTGAAGCTGGACAGTTTCTTCTTATTTGACACTGCTGTGTGACTCAACCTTACTTTTTCCATTCACCTTCAATCACATATGAGTTCCAGATTTATTTCCCCCCCCTGTAGTTACACTGAATTAACTTTCATTCCTATCTATTACAGGGTAAAACCTATCATCATGAGTTCAGGGAATATCAATGTTAAATTCTCATATGTGACAACACAGCTCTATTGCTAAAAAATGTGGAGTTTCAATCTAAATTATATAGATTTTTGAGCTGATACTTCATAAAACAGAATCTGAATGGAAAAATCAAACAAATAGAGATGTTTTTGTAAAGGAAGGTAAGTATTCTGGGTAAAACTTATCTTGCATCTAAAAAGTTACCTTGTATTGAATGTATAAAGGATGTTCAAAAGGAGAAATTGTAATTATAAAAAGCAGGAGAATAACAAAGAGCACAGGTTTGTCTTCATCATGACTGTCTGCTTCAGTATTTGAAGAGATCAGACAAAGGTGTTCATTGTGTTGTTGCACTCCAACTTTTCACATAATCAAAAAGCATTAAGAAAGAGAGAGACAGATAACAGAGTGGGAGGTTTATGACTGTACGTTTGGACAGCTTTTTCCTGTTTCAAGCAATATACCTTACATAATATAAACAACAGAAAACAATTGGTTTGGCCATTTGGCTTTTAAATTGCAAGATCATGTGAGAAAATGGCAAAATTTTGCCTACCTGAGCAAATGGTGTCACAATCAAGTCATCTCCATGTCTGAAAAAATGAGCAGAGTTTTAAGTTAGGTATTACTGAAAACTTATCCCGCTGCTTTAACAGAAAGAAAATCAGGTTTTACAATGCACTGTAGGTAACTCCAGTTTTATTCTTCAGCAGTTAATCACTACCGCTGCTTTACACATCCTTTGAAAAGTAAATATCAACTTAGTTATTGCCCAACCGCCTGGCATGTCTATGGAATGGCTGATGAACCAGCCCGTTTCTGTGCTGCGGGTTGGGCAGGTGACCAACTGCCCAGGACTGCTCTGCAGAGATTTCACCCCAAAGGATGAAAGTGAAAATACCGAAAGCAACCCCATTAAGGGCTACTAGCAGGCTTGTGAGGGCTGGGCGGGCGAGTAACAGCAGGTGGCTGGGCAGCACATCGCAGACAAATAAAAACCTGGTAAAACTTTCAAACTGACTCACACCTCTGTAGCTATAGGGGGTGTGACCGCGTGTGTGCTGTTGCTGTGGCAACCTCACCCACGCCACGGGGTGACGTATGGGCAAGGTGCTGGGATGACGCACTGTAGGGGAGAAAGGAGGAAGGGAAAAAGGGGTTCCTTCACTTCAGCATCAAAAGCTGCCACTTGAAGCATTTTCCAAAACACATAGTCTTGTAAATGCAAGTAGGATGAAGGGCTGTCGAGCTAAAGAGTAGCATCAGTAGCACTGATGATACGGAGTCAGACCTTTCCAGGGGACCGCGGGGACAGGGAAAACTTGGAGTTTTCAGTGATCGTATTCAGTATACAGCAGCAATCAAGATGAAAAGAAATTTTCCAAAACCAAAAATACAATATGACTCCATTTTTAATTCTCCTGTATTTCCCTGCAGTGAATTTATCATGATGAATTACAAGTTGCAGCTTTCAGCGGAAATTACCATTGCTTTGGTGCTATTTTAACGTTATTTGAGTGTAAGCACAAAAAACGAGTATTTAATAGATTTCAAGTCCATCAAAATCTAATCAGAAAAAGGCTTTCTGATAAATGGAGAAATTTGATCTGTGTTTGAGTTGCTACACCATCATTCTTATACACTGTCCACAAGAGAGTAATGTTTTTGGAGATATTGCACGAACCGAATAAAAAAGCAGTAAGCACAACCAGAGAGTCTGTAAGAACAAAACAAAACTCCCCAGTATTAAAAATTATCATAACGCTTAATATCTCTGTAGCCATTTTTACTACCATCTCTTTTATTTCTGTTAGTTGAAATAGAGAAACAGATTTTTACAGACCCTATGCAAGAAGTCTGCACTTTTAACAGGGTCTTTGCAGGAATGTTTGCTTCAGGTGAAACCACAGTCCCAGCCTGGCTGGAAAGCATGGGAGCCGGATACTCAAACCAAACCAGAAGAAACATGGTACCATGGGGGTAACTCAGAGGCTTTAATCACCCAATAAAGCCAAATCCAAACAGTTATTATAGACATCATGAATGAGTCCAGGGAATTAACAAGGGAGTTAATACCCAGCTGAATTTTGTACTTCTTCACGTTTTCATTGGGTCATGAAAACTTCAGGAAATGTCCTAGATTATCATTTCTGATCAGGATTGCTTAATGAGTTACACAACTAAACAAAGGTTTCAACAGAAGATAAGCCACATCCATCTTTTCCTTTTCTCTCCTGTTCTCCACTTAAACAGCCATAGTGTGAATATGTACGACACCTCACTTCCAGAAAAATTATGCTCTTTGTCTTCAAATTCTGTGAAATTGTATTATCTGCTGTGTGACAGCTGGCTTACCTGTCCCTCTAAAATCTGTTAATTTCTTCCCTTTTTAAAGAACATTTTTACTACTTGCACATAGCTACCCATTTTCTTTTCTGTTTTGACACTTTAAAGAGGCACAGCTGTGTAGAGCAAGGAATCCTGTGTTAGTCATCTGAATGACTTCTGCAAAGATGGAAGAGCCTAGAGCCTCAAGTAAATTATTTGCCAGTCTTCCTCACACCTGCCCACTTTACCTATTACTCAGGTTGTTTAAGCAAAAAGCAAACAAAGGGTTGAGCAAATTCTTAGAAATGAGTGTGGGATTCTTTTAAGCTATCAAATTCTGCACAGAAACTGTACCTAAAATAAATACGTAAACCCATTTTTTACTGATCTAGTCTAATTCCCACATTTGGAAATGATGAAGGCACAGAATCCTGGGGATGAAAAGTTTTACAAGTAGCAGCAGGACTGGACAAAAACCAAAACCATTAAATTGCTTCTACCTGTAAATAAGCCAGGTAGAACAGAGCTAGTTCTTTCTAGCATCACAAGCATCTGTCAGTGGCAAACGCTCTGAATGCTCTAACATATGATACAAATGCACAAAATATTCAGGAGTGCTTCAAATTCCCAGGTAACTGCTACAACGTAGTTATTAACTGTCAAAGTACAGAGTGGGAAAACTATGAAAATAGTGTGGTCCTTCTTCTCACCATCTCTTGTGGGCTTCCTTACTGGAGGTGGTACTTTCTTGCTCTTCTTTCCATTCATTCAGTGCCCCTGTTTGCCACTCCTTGAATGCTGAGGCACTTCTAAAAGGCAACAGATAGATGTTTCTGGGCTTTCTGCCCTAGAGGTGTTTTTTTTTCTTTTCTGTAAAATAGCATGACCCTGCTCCTCTAGTTTTCAAGCTTCATTCTACTTGAGCTCTGGCTGGACTGCATTTCACTGGAGAACACTGATAAAATACTGTAGCTTATTTTTTGAGGAGGCATCATTAAATATTAATTTAATGCACCGAAATCAACCTGGGATTCAATTTTCACTTTTGAAATGCCCCTTGTGCAAAGAGCAACAATTACAGAAATTATCATTATTTTGTTGAAAGCATGATACTGAAAGTACAGATATCCACAGCTTTCGCAAAGCAGTTCAGCATGCACCAGCCCCACTTGGACAAAAAAGCAATTGCATAGTGTGGTGAGTAATCTTTAATCCACACTGGGTCAGGAAATTTGGAAAAAGTGAGAGTGCTCAAAAAGGGAGCAGACATATCTAAAGCAGCTGAGGGTTTTTTTGTACAGAAGAGCAAGAACGTATGATTCAATCCAAGTGCTATTGATCCACAGCGTACTGCAGTGTAGTAAACACTACAATGTATGAGTGTCCTGCTGTTTTCTTTTCAGATGATATGGAAGTTGAGAGATGATTCTGTCTGGATTCTGGACAGGACAGTGCCACACATCTGCATACAGAAGCAGCAACAGGGCATGTAAACCCTGTGTAATATATCACAAGCTTCTAAGTATAGACAGAGCTGTTAACCTTTAAGGTTAGAAGAAATTGTGCACATCAGTGTTAGACTCCTTTAACTAGAACGCCTGGCATACTTGTTCACATGTTCATTTCTCAAAGGAAAGACAGATTTGAAAGCAGAATAATTTTCACAGGGCCCCAAAATTTAAAATTATCAAATCCACCACCACCCAAAAAGACTGCTAAAGCAGACAGTCCACATCCGAGGAATTGCTGCTACATAAAACACAGGCCAAATTTCCATTAGCAGATAAAAGATTATGTAACGCATTGCAAGTTATTTACCATGTTAAAGCAATGAAGCCTGGCCTTCTGCAAATTTTCTGAGTTTTCCTTCCTAACCTTTCCTATGGGACATACTTGAACTCACCCCGTATAACCTATGATGGTCCCCACCCTGGAGAAGAGATAAAAGTGCTATGTTAAATCAGAAGTTAGATGAACATGTTCAGCTGACTGTTGCCAAATAAAAAGTACAAAAAATTTGCTTCCTTTCCTCAAGATTGGCATTAATTTGTCTCTTTTATCCCAATTACAGGTCAGTAATTAACTTTGCCCCCACTAAAAAGGAACTTAGAGATGCATGCATGGACAGACAGAGAAGCAGGCAGGAAGATTAACACAAGGATAGACAGAGTGACTGCATAACCTTTATTTCTTAATTAAGTTGGGATAATTTAATATAATCATCTAATAAGAGGAGTAGCTAGAGAGACATTCTGCAGACCTGCTAGGATACACTTAAAAAAGAGAGGGTGTTTTTTTAATGTGGGCAGAAAAAAGTCAAGATACCCATTAAGGAAAAATGAGTTCCAACCTTAAAGACCACTAGAAATGTGAGTCTGCACTTGCCAGTGTGGAGCTTCACGGAGAAGCTCCTGAATAAGGTTTATCTTTGTAAAGGCCATAGTGAACTCAGATTAAGACTTTCTAGACACATGTGAAGAATGCCAAGTGAGTGATCTTGAGGACATGTATTGCAGATGGGAGCCATAAAGAGGATAAATAAGAGCTCTGTTTAAATAGAGCGGGGGAAATGTACGAAACATATTTACACCAATTTGATACATACCTTTTCATAGACAAGATGTGGTCAAAATAAAATTCTTGGTGAAACTTGATACAATTCTTATAGCATAAATTATGACTGGTGGAAAGAATCTTGATGCTTTGTATCAGTTTAAAGCATGATCTTTATAACTGATTTGCCACATTTGAATGAAAAACTCACGTATCTCCCCAGGATAAGTACTGGCTGAGGATGCCAGTCAGGCTTTAAATCCAACTGGCATAGTCTGTGTTGGATTCTCTGGCTGCAAACTTGGGACATAGCCTATTTGAAAAAATAAGGCTTCCAACAGACTTTGGAAAAGCCCTAGGGGACAGTGGCTGTCTGGAATTCCTGCACTGTGCTCCACAGCAATAACTAAGGCTTTTGTCACATTGTCACAAGAATGGACTTAATTTTTACAGAGTTGTTTTGAAGCATTTTTTATTTTTTATTTTTAATATAGAAACATAGCAAACATAAAAGCAACGGAAAATCCATACTGTCTACACACAATGTACAAGACTGGAAAGAAGATCAACATGAAAGTAGTCTTCTATTTGAACCAGAAAATCTATCGCAGCCTCCTTTTTCGGTGTAAACATCTAAATTTGGATTAAACATCACATCCACTCATTTCTGTATACAAGGCTGATTCAGACTTACTGTTCAATAACATGCTAT